TGCTGCCTACCGTAGCGACGATAGTCAACCTTGGACAGAAATGTAAATCCAAAGGTCGCGACTAGTTGTTTGTATAGTTTCATTTGTGTGCGAAGCTTTTGTGGGTCGGTTTTTTAGTTCCACAATCACTTTCAGCGAGGCTGAAGACTGGTCAAGCCATGAAAACCGCTGCTCGGGGTCGAACTCGACTAATTAAGTGCTTCAAGTGGAGAGCCGCAGTCAGCTCCAAGTGTCAATCGATATGATCTACTTGCAACCCAGGACACCCATCTATCTACAACACACGACAAATTAGAACTCGGTGTTGCAGCAGAGCAGACCCTTCCATTGGAGTCAGAGTCAGCTCGGATCGTTTTGAGGCCAATGGCACTGGAGCCTGCGCTTGTTGCAGCTCATGTCCGAGCTTCGTGTCTTGCCGGACCTCCTCAGCTTTGCTTTGGTCGCTGAAGCCCTCGGCTCGCGAGTGCCCGGTACGGAGGTGGGGCACCCCTGTACATGTCGCTGAACAGAAGGGCCAAAGGGATGTCCCAGAATAAACATTCATAAACCACTTGGGGATGGTGCGGAGCTGACAAGGTCCAGTTTTCTGAATCAACCAAAGACATTTAGGATCATTTAGGAAAAAATACGTTTTTATATATTAATATGTTTTATTAATATGCTTTTGTATAGTTTTTGCTGGAGCTTATTCGAACTTAGAACCTTTCTGCCGTGGATCCCGGAGATTCATCGGTTTCATCGGTGGTGGTGCGAACGTCCTCCCGGTGCACCACCGGGGTGCCCAGCTACCACGACCTAACGCTGTCTGCTTTGCCTTTCTTTGAGGTCGCAGTTCCAAACTGCCCACCTGGAGCCGCGACGGACCCCCACGGACGACGGAGGCAAACAAAGGTTCCGACGACGAAGCTAGCTGCGACCTTGACCATCCAAGGGCAGCCTCGGTTCCATGTCAAGGTTTCCTGTTGTGGAAGAGAAGGCCAACAATGAATTGGTCTATTAAATTCATGTCTATTTTGTTTGTTTCCTTTATCACAGAAAACACACACTGTGCAACTGTTCATATCAATCAATCTCCACACCAAAAGAACCTGGTAGTTCGATCATGCTTCAGATTCACACCATGACCCTCTTTGCGATCGATGTACTTTCGTTCTGGGTGCCCAGTGCCCGGAATCCAGCCTTATCTTGGAGGGTCCGGATTTGGCCCATGGGTGTGCGTTTGAACTGGAGACCCGCTGGGTTAGACGGGGTATCCCGAACCTTCCGGCGGGAACGCCTGGGAGGGTGTCCTATTTTTAATGCATACCCCACATGCAATGTACTTCGTGGGCCGGCGCCCTAATGTGCATTCCTTCTCCAGGCTTTGTCCTCCATCTTGGATGCGATGTCATCTTGCACAGTGGACCAGCTGTGTCGAGCCAAGTAGAAAGCTGGCTGCGTTTGGCCGAAAAAGGCGTCCGCCTGGAGAGCGGCAGTTCCACTCATTCTTTCCAATCTGCCGAACGGGTAGTCCCAGGCTTAACCTGGTGTGAAGTATATGTATATAGATTTTAGATGACCTGTACTACATGTGCAGGGGTCCAGGTGTCATTTTCACATCTGCTTTGCTTCTAATGGTCACATGAAAAGGGCCGACGCAGACGCAGGCTGAAGTTTTTCACCGGGCCGGGAGGGACCGACCCTGGTCCCTCTGGGTCCCTCTGGCTCGCTTTTTGGTGGTTGAACCTCCTGGACTCGTGAGGTACACCACCCGCTCCTTCTGAGAGGAGGTGGTGTGCAGTTCTTCAGTTGATTTGTCGACTTCGAGACGTGGAACGCGAGAAACGACTAGAACCAGCTTCGTTCGACCGGAAGATGACCGAACCCATGTATTGGGATTGCAACATGTTCTTCGGGGGTGAGTAGTGAGTAGATCTATACTGCTCGACAAGGTGTGTGGCTGATTGGAGAGCAAGCCTGTTCTTTGTTTGGAGGATTCCCCTGCTGGAGGATTTACCAGCAGCTTCCATATTGCTTCCATCTTTATGAACATTATCCAGTGAATTCCAGTGACTAGAGTTTTGTGGCGGCTCAACTGCAGTAAATACACGAAAAGCCCTGTGGTCAATCCGGAGTCCAATGGTGCCCTGTGAGAAACCATGTGAAACGACGCCCAGCTTTGGCTCAAGAGAAGCACCACAGCGAGTCCCTTCACCGGAGCGGTTCCTCCGCACCTGAGCCCATCTTCGTTGGCCCCGTGTTGAGATCGGCCGAAACAGCTCAGATCGGCCCGTAGCCTGATGCTGTTGATCGAAGTCACCTAGTCAGGCCTAGTCGACATACAAGCCAACCAGGTGCGCCAAGCCATGATCAACACACCTCGGCCACCCTCGGCCCGGTCCGCGCACCCGCCAGCGATGCCGCGATGCGCAGCGGGAGCCAGCGATGTTTCGCCTGGCCAAGGCCCGGTGGTGAAGCCTTTTGGATGAGACGTGGAGCATTTGGGGTTTGGAGACCGAAGATCCTGTGCATAAGAAGAACAGTCGACTTCCATTCAGCGTTTTGGAGTGGTCTTACCCTGAAGTCCGATTGATTCCAACATGTTGAGAGCAACACAGACAGCTTGAACCAAGCCCAGAGAGGGTGGGACCCCCAGATGTTTCGGAGATGGATGCTTTTTCATGCTTTTTCCAGAAAACTGGTTCTGCGCCCCAGGCGGTGGAGGGAGAATGTGTCTAACAGTCTTGCCGCGCAGGTGCCGTCTCTGGGACGACTGGGAGGCAGGGACGACTAGGGCGTCCGGTCACGAGGTGACGACTGGGTCAGCGGCTAGCAAATCGCCCGGAGCCCCGTTCGTAGCGTCCGATCGCTCCTAGTAGCGATGCCAGGAGCCCCGATCGCAGCGTTCCTATTTGTTCCTAGTAGTAAGGCCAGGAGCCTCGATCGTAGCGTCCTCTTAAGGGGCGCTGCGTGCTTTTCTTTAACCATGCACTCGGTTTCAGATCCCTCCGCCCGTGCATCCTGCAGCCGTGCTGGGGTCCAAGCAACTCAGTCCTCGCCCTTTTTGCCCTAGTCCTGGCTATGTTGCTGGTCTGGAGGGCTGTGACGGCTTTGCCGTTTGCGTTGGTTCACCGCGTTGGGGGGAATTTGGGGTTATGGGGATTCGTAGACGTGCTACGATTCGGCCGGTTCACAGTTCTGTAGAGACTGAAGTTTCAAGGGGCACTTGTTGTTGGAATCGTTTTGCATCCAAGTATATCATAGTATATCGATGTAGTTGGTTCTACTTCCTCCCTTCTGTCAGAGAAAGCCAGTGGCCAGTGGCCAGTGGTCAAGATGGCAAACAACCACAAAATTTGGAATGTCAGGGCAAGACCAACACGTTTTTCCTACAAACATGGTATACTTTAGATGGTTAAGAGCCTCTCAAAGCGTGGTTTTTGCCGTTCATGTGACACCTGGCCGTCACCCCCACCGCCGCGGCGCCGAGGGCATCCCTGGCACCGAGCGTTTGCCGCGGCCTGCGCCGCGGCCTGGTGCCGCCGGCGGTCTCAGCGGTGCAGCGGAGATTTCTGAACCTGCACGAGTACCAGGTGCGGCAGTCGCGGCAGAAGGGGCCGGAAGTAGTCCTTGGTTGTGGACGTGGTCGACGTTGAACTTGGAAGGGATGCGGAAGAGATTCGATGCGTGGCCGTTTGGGTCATCATCGTCACTTTCATGTACTTTTCGAGGCATGGAACATACCCAAGTATATGCATGCATTGCATGCATGCAGCGTGGATATACAGACAGATACTTGTGATTTCCCTTCGAACAGTTTGCAAAACCATTATTTGGGTTATTCACCCCTGACCAGGCGCAGATTATCTTCCAGAAGTGTTTTGGCTGCAATTGGAAGCTTTGACACTACACTGAGAATCCAGCAGCCTTGTTCTCAGATGAGAAGGTGTGATGGCCAGACTGCTTCATCTCGAAAAGCGGTGCCTCAGTGCCTCATGTCAAATTCCCAGAACATATTTCACAGGTGAAGGAGGAGGTGGCAGCAACTTGAGTGCATGGGTTCTTGGAGCAAAGCCATCCACTTAGATCCTGACTAATGGGGCAAAAACATATTGACGATTGATTGCTCCTCGTGTTACGCCCCTGACTAGGAATTGTTGATGGTCATAATCATGGCATAAAATAAGGCATTTGCACCCTCTTTCTCCTTCTTGGAAGCAACCCTTCTGTCGGATGACCTCAAGATCACAGCCATGTGTGTGTGTGTGAAACCCTAGGCTTCTTCAGGGCTTGGGGCTCAGTACGTATTATTATCTCGAGTGTGTGTGTGTGTGTTTCATCACTCAAACAACTTCCGCTGCGTCGTCCTGTATTCCCTGGCCTGACACGTGAGCTTCCGCGCACTGATCTCAGTGCAGAAGCTTTCACCACAAGGATGATCTCAGCCAAAAAGCAGCTAAGCCAGGTTGTTCCTGCTTTGGAGTTGCACCATCACCGTCTTTGGGACGGAGCCCACTTGTGCGGGCGGTTGCACCACACGGCCAGTGGACTCCTGGACATCCAGGTTCGGCGTGGGCGTGCCCAAGAACCTGCCCGCCTTCTCCCCAGAGGAGGCCGTGGAGAAGGCGAACGAGATGCCGGGCGATGAAGTCGTTGTGCCTCGGCGTTGCTTCGTACCAAACACCCGGGACGGGCGAGAAACGGAAGATGCCCGTCGTCCGGACGTCGCGGGTTTCTCCGGGGAGAAGCTCTGAAGTGTCTTAAGGGGGCCGGGTGCTGACCGGACCGATAGCCCTGGGGACTGGACCGATGGCCGGGGGGGCGGGTCGCCCCATTCTCCTTCGAAGGGGTGCGAAGAACCACCGATCTCCACCGCTCCAGGTCAAGGCACAGGTGCTCGCCGGTGGGAGAGGCTTGGGACACTTCAAGGAGAAGCTTTCGCAGGGGGCGGTGCTGTGGTGCGCCGGGGCAAAGGAGGAGGTGGGCAAGAGGACTTGAATGGTCAGTGGGAGAGCCTCAGTGATCTCACGTGTTGGACACTGTTCTTATGCCATGGGCGCAGCCACGGATAACACTCTGGCTAGGACAAGCTATTGAATAGAACTGCTGGAATTTTGGATGGTATGATGGCTTGGAGGAAGCCAGTTCAGTTTTCTTATGTTTCCTTTGTAATTATCTTTGTTCAGTTGTCCTCAGAATAGTTTGAGGGATTGATGTCCCCTGCTACAAACAGGTGCAAAGAACATCCATCAGGTCAACTTCGACCACGTTGGTGACAGCAGACGTCGAGGTTGGCCACAAGTCTTCAGGTCTTGCACAGTCACTGCGCCGTGCCCCTTTCGGGTCTTTGCAGGAGAACAACTTCCAAGGCGGCGTCCACATCGTGAAGAAGGAGAAGGCCAGGTGAAACCAGCACTGCATCTGGATGGGATTGGCTTGTATAGACACATATAGTCATATAGACCTCACCGTTTTTGTCAGTGATTGGTTGATGTGTCGCAAGCCGCCGAGCAGCCGATCACGTTCGCCTCGCCTCCCCCAAGCATCGCGCCCAACCCGACTCCGAGTGGCCCACCCCACTCCCATAGGTCAAGGAGGTGGCAGAGAAGATGTTGGGCAAAACGTCGGGCGGCCGAGCCCCACCCGCCCAAGGCGCCTTCACGGCGCCATCATGGAGGGAATGGGCGCCAGATTGAAATGATCGCATCCTAGCTAGTACAGATGAAAAGTTGGTATTTTCCAGCAAAAACTGAGTCAGACATGACGGGAGACACCACTAGAAGTGGCCAGCACCTTGACTGGGCCCGACAAACTACTTCGGGAGGCTCGAACCAATATTTGCGACCTGGAGTCTCCAAGGAGTTTGACACGGCCAAACAAACTGCCTTTCAGCATTTTTCAACTAAGACCTTGACTATAATGACCCACCCTTTTCCAGCCAGTTTTTCATGAGCTTGTTGACCTTTGGACCCTTTCGACATCTTTCGACTAAGACCTTTGGATCAAACCTCGACGCCTTCAGCCTAAGAGGACCAAGCGGCCCCTTTGGAACTCCGGAACCGGCAGACTGAGGCTCATCACCAAGCAGACTGGAGCAGAAGGAAAGCCCAACAACACGTGTCTTGGCCCCACGTGGGTGGATGGCTCGATGGCTCGATGGTTTGAAAGATGAATCCATCGCTGAACCTTAGTTTGATGTTCCATGGAGTTTGTGACATTGAGCCCTGAACACTTCCGAACTTCGTGAACCCCAACCCCACGAACCACCCCACAGCGAGAGGTGAGATTTCTACCTCCCTCGAGGCATCATAGCAATGTTACTTGTTTCTGGGGTCCCGGAACCCAAGGACAATGCATGGCCCAGGGGTTGGCTGTCACTGACTGTGACTCTTGCAGGCGTTTTTTGGACGCGAAAGCAGCGAAAGCAGCATGACTTGTGATCCCTTTTTGGGGGCGTCTGACAGTTTGCTCATGGGGTGCACCAGGTTGAAAGGCACGGCTCCTCTCACCCCGTGCTCACATCCTTTCACCACTGTTTTGGGGAGTTGTAGGGCTTTACCAGGTCCCGGTCCTCAAGCATCCCAAAGCAAATTTCCACCACACGCCAGAGTGAACAGCTGATAGATTCTGGGGTACCGAGGGGCATTTGTGGTCCATCGTCCTCCTTGTTCCCCGTTGATCTTGTTTTTTTAAATGTCTTCCTATCCCAGACACTCCATGTAATGGAATATATGATATCATTGATATCCCTATATTGACCCCTGAAACTACCCCGTAGGTAATATGGCGCACATGGAGTGGTGGTCATCGCCGACGGCAGAAATTTCAGAAACGATCTCATGCAGAGAAATCCTCCTTTCTCCATCCAGAGAATTAAACGAAACATTACTGCAAGGTGGTTATCTAAGATTGTTTTAAACATTTTTTAACAACTCACATACCAGGACCCTCCAAGGGGTGTTGATTTATAGACCCTTAGCTGTGATTCGGGGTGTCCATGTCTACCACCCAACTCCTGGGGGTCCTGGTATATACCTCTTGGGATGATCGAACCCACTGACGTGCACTGACTCCTACTTTCCGAGTTCACGGCACCAACCGGGGCACTACGCAACCGCAGGGTGCTGCTGGCTGAGAAGGTCTCCATTAAAGATGAGCCTCGGCCAACGGCAGTATTGGCTTCGAAAGGGTTCCATACCCAGACACTCCATGGGACTGCCATAGATGCCTACATTGGGGTGGTTTTGGGGGTCAATGTAGACATATATGGCATACATGGAGCGTCAGGGATATATTTGTACGTATCCCTACACCGTCCAGTCGTACCTCCTCAGGTTCGGTATGGCCTAGGGTATATTGGGTCTGTGCTGCAACAATCGGTCAGCAATGAATTATGTACTAGATGTTTAATCTATTTTAGAAAAAGGCCTTTTGGTAACCATCATTATTTGTTACTGGTAATAGGATAGGATATACCCTCGTTTTGAAGGTTGAGGGTCAGTCATTTGTATTTTCTGGTTCAAACTGCCAAGCTTGTGCAACTGAGCTTGCTTGCGAGTACGAGTACATCTCGCACAAACCAAGCGATTTTCCATCCTACTTTAGATAGAAGAAACCTTGCCACCTGAGAGAGATGTATTTTGAGCCATGTACTTTTTGGACCATCTCCCTGTGTGGGTCTCTTGCATGCCATGCATGCCGTAGCCGAGTTCCGCCACGTCGGTGGGGGATCTTTCTTGTTGATGCCATGCCCAGTGGATCCTAAGGTCTGGGGGCTTGAAACCTAACGGATGCGCTTTTTGTCGGGGTGGAGACCTGTAGGTGGAGACCTGTTGACGTAGTGTGGAGAGATCCAGCCAGGTTACCCCTAGCCCGGAAGCAGTTGGTAGGTCCATTTTGGGTTTCGAACGGGTCACCGGATCCACAGCCGAAACTCTGAGATGCGTTCATTCAGCCGAAACTCTGAGCTTTGGTGGTCAGTCCCAGCCTTTTGTTGCGCGAGACCGGACCTATCGACCTTTTCAAAGCATCCATGGGAAGAGAGAGTTACATGGATGGGGTCGTTGTTCAGACCATCTGGCTCTGGCTCTGTGCTGTCACCGACCCTCCGAGCCGCACCTGGCGCAGTGCAGCGGTCGACCGGGCCAGCGCAGTGCAGCGCTTCCCGGTGGGGACTGGTCCTCCTCGGGTCCTCCAGGTTCCCAACTCGGACCAAGTTCTCTGGACGAAGGTGCGTAGGTCGAGACCTGGCCAACCCTCGGCCCAAACTCGCTCGGGCTGAACATTCTGGGCTGACATTGCAGCCCAACGCATCTTCGGAAGATCTAGGTATACTCAGTTGATCTCAGCTGTATGGTTTTTGGAGGTGGGGTCCAGCATGTTATAGGGATCCAGCGTCTCATGACATAACCAACGGGGATTCCAACTCCTCTCAGGAGAAATACTTTGCCATTCTCATGGACCGCTCCAGTGGAGGCCGAGCCAGATGCGGCCGGAAAAGCAATACCTGAGTACAGCCTTGGAGATGTTTGTTTCAGTTGGGAATGAACTGGTTGATAAGGTTTTTTGAGGATGATTCCTCTGCAAAGCAAAAGATTCTCTATACTTCCATCATCCCTACGGTTGATGAAGGAGTACTGCACCACCTAGAGAAATTGGTTTGAGAGACCCACATGCTATTCTGGTCATGGTTGGTGGGTGCCTTTATATAATGATTTTTGTTGGCTGTTTGCAACCAAGGAAGCCAGTGAATCTGCGCTTGTTTCTTCCAGGGCTGCCCATCCAACCTACAGGGGAAGGGATCAACTGCCCTGGTCCCAGTTCCGCAAGGCCCCTTGATGATTGGAAGCAAGACTGGAGGAACCTCCATCGAGGCACCGGGTGTGACCGGACGGCCATGCAGGGTGGGGTGCACCGCGAACCCGCACCGCGCCTGCCCCACGAAAGAGTCCCCCAAAGTGGAAGTCCACAGTGAAGCGTTTCACATGATTTCACTGACTTCTCCAAACAGTCACCTCCCACACCGTCCCATCTTTCCCACATCACCGTCCCATGGGAGACCCTGCACCGATGCCTCACGGACATCGTCGAACCGCGCACACGTCACGGCGCTGTCGAGACCTCCCGACGTCGCAGGACATCGCGGCCGCGGACCCCACGTCGATCATCAAGACACCTGTGGACATCATCGAAGGTGTGCCCCCCTACCGGCGTCCGCGGAGAATGGAAGGGAAGGGGGCCTGGCGGCCTGGCAGCCTGTCTTCTTGAAGGGTTCAAGGGTTTGTCAGGGTGGTGGATGAAAGCCTATAGATGCAGGATGAATCAGGATGATACAGGAGGTTAGAGGACCTTCTAGCCTTCTAGTTCCTAAGGTCTGAGCCCTGCCCTGGACGGAGCCCCGTCCGATCCGTCTGTCCGGCGCGTGGCCAGGCATCAAGCCGGAGGCCGCAGAGAAGATGGCCACGGAGATGGGCTTCAGCGGCGCCCAGGCGACGGGACGGGACCGGGGGAGACCGACCGGGTGGGTTTGGGGGACCGTCACGAAGAATGAGGAGCGGCGGAAGATATACGAAGAGAACGAAGCTAGCGAACCAGGATGTACGTAGAATAAGTGGAACAGATGTTCCGAAACAGAGTTGGCAAGACCTTGAAGTGATCCGAAACAGAGTTGGAGAGCAGTCTAAACACAAGCAGTCCTTCTACTAGAGGGTCACCAAGATGGGGGCCAGTCTATTGCCTTCCCATGCAAACAAAGCCACTGGAAACAGCTCATCTTTGGTTAGAGGAAACATGCGAGCAACTCATGAACCACTCTCTTAACACATGTTAAATACATTTAAATATAGTTATATATGTTTGAAAATACTTTAATTAAACAATACTGTACCTGAATATATTTGAACCTTAGATCTATGATGATCGCCACCCTATGGTGCCAGTTGTCTCTTGTGTCTCATCACCCTTGCACGGTGATCAGTATCCATCAGTGCTGCGCAGCACCGGAAAAAACTCCGCCAGGCGAAGGAAGCCGCCGGGGGCCCGGCTGGGAGTGCGCTGGGCGCACCTGAGGAATGTTTTACATGGATCTCGGATCTGAGCTCTGGATGTTCCGGTGGTTCTTCAAGGCCATTTCGGGTGCTTCGTCACCTTGCTGGAGGTTGGTTCACCTGATTCGATCAATGGCTGGAAGTCTAAAGATCAGCTCCAGAAGGACTGATGGTGTTCCTGGTTTGTTCCTCCTCATTCCAAAGAATCGCCGAGTTGCTGTCCCGCAAGCGCGCCGAACATCCGCACGGCCCGAGGCCACTCTGATGGCCAACCTGTACAAGGCCAGGACATGACCAGGAGCGAAGACAGCACAGTGAGGAGGAGTGGACTCTGTAAAACCTGGGGCATCCTGCTGTAGGGCATCCTCCTGGACAGGTGTAGTGGGCTACATGTAGTACCCGCTGCTTAGCTGTAGCGCTCGGATGTACTCCGGAGCGATAGACACATGTCTTGTTTTCTTCTGTGCACGTACATTTGATCTTATTTGTTGGAGCCTCTTAGCCTTAGACACAATGATCATGATCAGGATGATCAGGTAGGACGAATTTGTTGGTCATTGCTTCCCCTATTCATCCCGTCCGAAGCAGTAACCTGACCCAACATGTGATGACTATGTTTGAAAGTACTCTGCCGACGCAGTGGGTACTAGGCACTGGACCGTTTTTTTCTTGATCTATGATCCTCTCCCAGACTCTTCCATTATCCTCCATTACAACAGGGACCATGCTTCTGTATTTCATTCATAAAAGATCTTGGACTCGATTCTTGGATGTCATGATGTACTCAACCCCCAGACGCTCTATGCATGAAATATCATATCTCAAAATTGACCCCAGAATTTACCCCAGGGATCCCCTGTCGTCTACGACTTCCAGTCCCGGAACGTCGTGTTTGGGAACTTGTGAAGCTTGCTCGTGTTTGGTAGGAATCCGGATGTACCTTCTTCGATCGGCTCAAACCGCGCTGCGCGATGCCAGCCACTCTCCGACTCCGCAGGTCTTCATCGAGTGCGACTGCACCATGTTGGAGATCAACCCCTTAGCCTCCCTCACGGATGGCCGCGTCTTGGTTTGCGACTCCAAGGTGGGGCGGGTGTTTCGAAAAAAAGACAGGATCTTGGCAGATCACTGGTGGAAGTGGTCGGCGAAAAAGCCTCATGCTTAGATCATAAAGTATCCTTGGCGATCATTTGGTGTAGGCTTGGGACGAGAAAACGTGTGTAACCGCAGGTCATTCGCTGGGTGAAACCACGTCCCTCCCGACTCACCCAGCGACGGCAGCCACCCGTCGTGGCTGCCGTGAACTTCACAGCGACTGGTGCAGGTGAACTTCGATGACAACGCCTCCTACCGACAGAAGGAAATTCATGATCAGCGGGACGTCAGCCAGGAGAATCCCATTGAGGTGGAAGCCAAGAAGTATGACCTGAACTACATCAAGTTGGAAGCTTGGGAGCAAGCAGATTGGTTTGCGGTCACAATGAAAACAATGTGCCTATAAAGCTAGACCAGGGAGTCACTGTCGTCAAGCTACATATTAGAAGTATTCAAAGGTCACAATATGTTGCCGCAATTGGCCTGCAGTTTGTCCTTTTTTCACCACCGCAAGATCCCCCCATGTTGGGGAACCATATTTTTTAAACGTGCACAAACAATGACCAGACCCGAAACTGGGGGGCCTTCAGGGTTCGATATTGGCTGTGGGGTCAAAACCCTGAGCCCTTGTGACCCTGGTACATGTACCGCAAGCAAGGCGAATTGCCCGGAGGCGGAGAGCGAGAGAGAGAGAGAGAGAGCGAGAGAGAGAGAGAGAACAACTTAAGTCTAGACGTGGCTTGACGGTCGAATGTGTTAACTGTTAATTCGCACCGTACGTATTTCATGCTGTACATATAGGGCTGATAGGTTGCATGTACTTTCACCATGTCTGTCATACTCACATGAGCAAGGGGTGTATACACCGCGTCGCCCGCAAGATTGAGCCCTAAACCCTGGTAGGGTGACCGGTTGACTTCCTTATTATACAAGCCTATTTAGCCTTTCTTTTTTCCGTGGTCAAGCAGAGTTCACCTGTTGACCCCCAGTCCTTGCGGCCCCCACTGCCTTCCAGTTCACCGAAACCCCCGGCCATGAAGAGGGTTTTCAATCCAAATTAATCAAGAGTCTACATTAAGGCTGCAAATGAAGTGGATGGGTTGTGGGATGTCATGGTCGTGCGAGAAGTGACTCTTTGAATCACCTGGTGTCGCTGTCAAAGAGTCACTATCCTTGCCCGGCCCATGGTTCGTTCGGCTTTGTGTTTTGACATTTGAGGTAAAATGGAAGAGACCCAACTTACCCACTTGTCATCCGTTTGACCACTGTTCAGGGCCAGAAAGGTCCTATTCCAAGACCTTGCTCCTTTTAATACACGATGTTTCGTTTCAGACCCGACAAAAAGTACAGGTCTGGTCTGGTCGATCTAGGTATATATATATGTATTCATGGTATACCAGGGCCTTCAAGGGGTGGTTAATGGACACCCCTTAACAGCTAAGGGGCTATAAATAGACACCCCTTGGAGGGTCCTGGTATACTGAAGGGATACAATGATCCCGCGGTGATCCTACTTCGTGGATCCCAGTTTTTCGAGCTTCTACGCCACCCTGTAGGGATGGGTTTCAAGATGTTTCAAGTATCTCTGTGCATGGAAGGAAACTGCTGAAGGCTGTGAAGGCTTTGATGGCTGACAAAGATGTGACAGTGGGCACAGCATCGCATACATTCCAGACTTGGTTTCAGGGAACATCGACAGGAAACCCCATAGTATAGGGGGTAAAGACAAGACTTGTCCTGTAGATTTTCCCTTGAACCAATTCATTGAATGGTCGAAGGAAGCTGGTTTGATCCTTTTCGCGCTCCCTTCACGGCCCGAGGATGGCAACGTGGCCTGCATGGTGAACGGCGCGGGTCTCGCGATGTCCACCATGGAAACTTGGAGGGAGGTAGTTGGTGTGACATGAAGGTAATTTGAGGAGAATTAAATATAGAGAGTTGACCCATAAAACACCTCATATCAACTTGTTCTACAATCCAACTGAGATGGTTTTATTATGTTTTATTGCTGTATGTGTTTTTGTTTGTGTGTGTGTGTCTACATTAAGAAACTAGATGTACAGGTTTCGGTCAAGATTCGACTTCCAAAGCGAAAAAAAGATTGGAAATATGCAGGACCTGCCAGGTGGCAACCATTCGAAGTGGAGAAGTGAATGTGAACTTCCCACAGCTCACAGGATGGTACAAGTTTGGAGCCACCAGCATGTCGCTTTCGCCAGCAGTGAACAAACCAACATAGGTGTGTTCACCCGAAACCTCGAGCGTTTTTAGTTCGTGTTGGGATTGAAGATATATTATTGACTCTTTTCTTAAAAGGGACTTTCGGATTGAACAAGCTGGTACCCATCTACCTTGTCCTTTTTGGATAAGTCATTGAGCATGGAATAGGTATACTATATGTATCCTTTTGCACTTTTGAGCAAACCGGTCAAGCTCGTTTGGATCAAGCAACTGCGATACCACTGGGTTATGAAGCAACCCGTGAAGATATTGATGTATATTAGAGTTTTGTGTATACTTGTGTTGCTTTAAAGTGTCAGTACTTCCCCCAAAGGAGGGCTGCATTTGAATGGGATCATTTTGTTTCGAACTAGCTCCTTGAGCCGTGGCAAGGATTTTTTGTTGTCTTGAAGTCGGGGAAGTCGGGCCACAACCTGAACAGCAACAACATACCCGAACGTCCATCCAAAAGCACGGGGCGTCGGCCAAGTCAGGGCGGATCCAGATGGGACAACGACTCCCGTCTCGTCTCGTCTCCAGACGTCGACGCTGCGAAGCAGCTGCGCGAAGCGGCTGCGCCGAAGCGGCAGCGCTCCACCGGCTGAGGACTTGTTGAGCATCCTGGGTGGCAGCCCAGCGAACTTCTTGGATGTGGGTGACTTGACGCAGGTCACCGCAGGTAACCGCAGTCAAATCCGGTTTGGAGTGCGAAGAGAGTGGTGTTGACACAACATGGGACCTTTGGTTTCCTCATCCAGGCGGGATCCTGATCCTCCAAAAGATGGAGGATGACTTGAGTGAATCCCCTTGCAAAAGATGTACTGAAAATTGGTTCCAATCCATTCCAGGGAGAGCACTTTCACAGCCTTGTTTCGGTGGTGTTTGGACAGCCCCAGAAGCTTGGACAAGCCCCCCGAAGCTTCAACCCAGGGGAGTTGAATCCTTAGTTCTCGATGCGAAGAGATCCCATGGAGGTGGACCCTGTACGTCGGGGGGGAGGCGTTTCTGCCAAAACAAGGGGCCCCTCAAGACGTTTCAGAAAAGGGGCTTATGCAGGGAGACTATCCGGACTTTGTTCATCAAACAACTCCAGGTTGTGGTCTCTGAAGCTACGTTGTCCTGATTATCTTTGAAGGGTCAATCCTTTGCAGTCCTTGCTGCTATAGATTTGACATGATTTGCTGCTCCCATGCGGGGAAGCATCAAGCAAGGGAGCAGGAAGCTCTGGACAAGTTGGAGACCTTTTTCCCGCCGAAGCAGCGCAAATCTTTTGAGCACAGTTCGTTGGGTCGTTGCATAGCGTTCCCCACTGCATCTGGAACTGCTGGCGCCCACCTGCCAACCACATTGGAACTGCTGGCCCCCACCTGCCAACCACATTGGAACTGCTGGCCCCCACCTGCCAACCACAAGCTGCTTGGCACTGGAACTGGAACTGTTCCAAGCACCCGGGGACAACAGTTTCCAGGGTCCTTGGGTCAGGAGAGTTGAAAGGTGGTTTTCGAGGATCTGCGGTTTTCTGCGCCACGCCAAGGTGGCGCATCGACTGTAGAGACCATGACGATGGCCTTCAAGCTGCCTGGCATGAGGATTGGAGGTCAAAATCTGTGGCTGTGAGTCCAAACCTCCTCACCAAACCATGGCAGGTTGACACCCCTTGTAATTAGAGGAATTTGTTCATTTTCAGGGGTCACCGGTGCTAAATTTCATAAGTCAGGGGCGGTTAATTCTGGGTTGGCGCTTTTAAGTGCTACAATAGTGTGTTAAGAACAGCAGGTTCAAAAAACACCGCCTGGCTTACAAACATGGTGGCTTTGTTTTTGCAGTTGCACATACGCTGCGCCCTTGCTGCCAGTGATGGCTCATGCAAATACATGAGTGAAAGTGAACTTCAACAAGGCAACTTTTTGCCTAATGTAGGAACAGCCAACCATTCACATTCAAAAAAATGTTAAGTTGCAAAATCTACAGTAAACATGTATGCTAACGTATGCTTCTGCCTTTTGAGCGCTTTTGGAATGAAATGGCTTCTTGGCTTGGGGGAAAAAAAACTTCGGGACCATGTGGAGAAGTCTGTGGTGGTGTTTTCTGGGCTCCATCTTCCAATAGCCCAACAGGAGCTTGGAAACACACCCCTCCCACTCCCAACACGATTGGATAGTACAAGATGTTGACAAATGTTGTTACTACAATTTTATTTCACAACTGCTTGGCGCCATGTCTTCGTGAGCCATGTCCATCTTAGATGGTGATGTCGCAAAGGCTGCCTTTGTGGACGTGCGGGCCAAGGCCAACAAAGCACGTGAGTTGCTGCTGTTGGCGGCGAGACCAGTGCTGCAGCACGGGACGGTTGAGGAAGTTTCTTGTAGTGATTCTGGACTGATTGTTTGCTAGTGACTATATTGAAAACAAAAAATAATGAGTTTTCCTGTTTCCTTTCCTCCATTGTCCTTTCAACATAGGCCTATTCATTGACTTATTGATATTGTCAGTATTAATGAAACCAGGCGTGGTTAAAATATATGAAGTCAATTCCAGGTCAACGCTTTTCGAGATGCTGCAATGATGCTGATAGACCTTGCCAATGTTTCCGCTCCAAAAGCCGCAACAAGTGCCTTGCGTCCGTCGGTTAAAAGTGGTGGCAGACCTGCATATAGTTTGCTCCAGCTGTTCAACTCAATGCGACTGACACTTTGGCGTTGAACATGTTCCCAGTGACAGTTGCCCTGCTGTGCTGTTTGTTTTGTGGACCTTCGCATGCGGCTCGGTCCTGTTTGATATGCAGAGAGCTCAGGAGTATACATTTGCGGGCAGCAAATCGGTTCAACCTGGCTTTGCAAACTGCGTGTGAGCTTGCAAGTGGCAAGTTGGACCTTTGCAAGCAAGCAGCATCTTGGCTTGTCGATGCCATGCCATGTTGTTTTGTCGTGAAATTGCTGATCAAATTAATATTCTTTGGATTAAGTAGGGCACTGTTACACAACACACCAATAGTCTTGTCAACGCACCATATACTGTGCAACTTAATTGTGAATTGTGAAAGGTACTTTCCAAACACACACTCGTGTCGCAGTTCCATTGAGTATTTGTAGCAGAAACAACCACCTTGGCCTTGGCGTCGTATTTGCACTGGAGTAAACCAAAATACTTCAATATACTATTGACAATTGGATGGCTATGGACCAATGTAGCAGTAAACCAATACCTTTGGATCATGGCTATTGACCATTCAGATGACATTGCAAGTCCACCGGGTGCCAGTACTGGTACCTTGTTTGAGGAAACCAAACCAATGCCTTTATGTGGGCCCTCGTCGGCAACTTTGTCCAGAGCGCGATGGAAACTGGATGTACTGAACATGTTTGCACGGCGCCTTACTTGGAAGTCTTCTGGAGGATTCTCTGAACACATTATTGCCTTGTGTTCCCTGGCAATTGAGCACAAACCAAAAAGGGATGATTTTGCAGTTGTGTAGCTGTCAATGAGAAGGTGGATTAGTTGCAAGTTGTGCCATTCCAGTGTCTTGGCAAGGCAAGTTACAACTAAGGTTACGATGCAACAACGCAATCACGTGAGATGTTCTTGACACAAGAATTCACTACAAAGCAGCTCGTACACTAAAACTTTGCAGGGAGTGCAATGCAATGTCACTGTCTTCGATATGTTTAAACTGCTTCACATAAAATGGTAAATTGACAGACTGACAGTCTACCTCCTGAATACCTTCTGATTCCGAGGGCACAAGAATCCATCGCCGACTTTTCAGCTATCCTTTCTGCAGTTCATCGAGGCCAAGCTGATGAGCACGCGCAAACCTTCTCTGAAGCCGACGCGCCCACCAACAACTTCAGAACTTCAGACCGTTTGTTGCCTCCGGTTTGCTTGGGGAAGGGCACCCTGGCAGTGGCAGCTCTCAATAGCTAACTACAGACTACAGGCTACAGGGTAATTACAGAAATGGCAAAGGTCAATGTTAATCTATTCACTAAACAAATCACTGTGAAACTGCTTCTAAGGCCATTGCACACTTGTAAATAAATTGGACGCTCTCTTGTGGTCAATCGGTCTGGAAGCAGATCTTGGTGACAGAGATCAGGATATTGCTGCATATGGGCGCAGAGTGATCAGTTGTACTTCGGACCAGGGCGCCTTGCACATCTAACCCCACCACCACACCACACCCATCCTTTGAGTGTTGTTTTGTATGGACCAATTCCATCAACCAATTCCATTTACTCCATCCCCTTAGGCACAGAAGTGCGACTTGTAGAGCAGCCACAAGTTGACATTCGAGCGCTCAGCGATGAAGCAATGCGAGATCAGCTTGGTCCAAATATGGATTTATCCCGGTCAGCAACACACAGAACAAGATTGAATCTCACACAACTAGGCAGTCTGGACATTGAGGATGAACCCCAAGTACAACCTGGACAATCGCCAAGGCTGTGGGGTGGGCTGTCTCCCGTTGTCCATTGCTAACTGTTTGCCTGTTTCTTTGAGGAACATCAACCACCAACACAAGATGGCACATTGTCATTTTCACTTCTTTTCACTCGCTGATTCTTGTTCATGGCCATTTGGGCATGATATTATTGTCTTTGCATTACTACATTGCATAAATATATGTATGTTGTACGCCGTATACCTGATATTGATTGGTGTTGTCCAGGCGAGCCCAGTGTTGAATTCTCAGTGTGCACTGCAGGTCAGAGGAAGATACACCTCCATCACTGCAGGAAGAGTTGCCACCAGATGATCACGACAGAGTGTTGGCCCTTTTTCCAAATGCAATTATGGTCACAGGCATACGTCACATTTGCGACAATATGTTGGGGAGCATCTTAGAGAATCTACCACAGCCTTTTGGCAGCATTTCTGACTCTATTGAATTTAGAAGCTTAATGACCATGACTCTAAACAGACGTTAGTGTTTTCTTCTACTGTGTCTTGGGAAGGGGCAATTCACATGTGATTCGCATTTAGTCTGTCAGCTAACTATGAGCCAACTCACCAATGTTTTGTTCAACGTGGGTGTGCAATGCTAGCTTGTCCTTGTACGGTAAGCATTGTTGACCCGTCTGTCAGGTGGAAACCTTTGCTTCCTAAGTTGGTCGCTTTGGACACTTTGCTTTCGACACCCACATGGAGAGAAAGATTTGTTGCAACATGTTTATCTGACCACCCTGACAGATTGTGGGTCGAAGATTGGGCAGAAGACTCCCTTAGGGGACTTCGATGGCAGGCCATTAGCAGATTTTGCTCTGCAGTTACTCGGACTAAACTTAAATGGCTCATTATCAATCACCGATCACGCTGCATGACGACATTACACCATGCTCAAACATCCTGTCATGACCAGGAACAATAAACATGTAGAGTACAGAACACATCAGAACAAATTTCAGACCACTCTTTGGACAAAGATCGCAAGCTCGGCTCAGGTTCACGATTTGGAGACCACACTACGGTCTGCTTGGCGAACGGGGTCATACTTGCATGGATGCGACCACAATGATGTCACATCTCACAAACCTTTTGCTGTTGAAGAGTCCTCCAAAGCCACAGTCTCCCACATCAATGATCTCATGCAGGATGACTACTCCTGGTGTTGTATCGGTATGATTGCACACTTGGCTACTGCATCTGAGATAGTCGCAGATTGGGCAGAAGCCTGTCCATGCTTTGAGCACCAGATGGATATGACTTCCATGCGTATGAAGGCTCCAAGGAAACGGCAGGCCAAGCCAAATAGATGGCTTGATTGTTGTTTCAGATGCTGCCGTGCTCCTGAATTAGCTGCAGGAAAGGGCATGGCATTACAGTCGCGCGCGATTGGTGCTGGGAAGTATGATTTTGCAGAGCTTGTCTCCAAGGCGCCAGAGAGCAAACGTGCAGAACTGAAGGGCTCCTTTGATGTTGCTCATGGGCGTCTGTTCAGCATCCTGCCTTTGCTAGACCTGTACTGCCAGTCACAGTTGTTCTTCTTGAGCTTGTACAGGCTAGACGGCTAGACTTGCAGTAACTTGTAGTTGACTTTGAGCAGCCCATAATTGCCTTTGGCTATTTTTTTGATCATGTGCTGTACAAATAAAATATTCCACTCGACTGCGCAATCTCCAAGGCAATTTGTTCTTCAAGCTACGACATTGGGAACAATTGCCATGGCTATTGTGCAGGGGCCCTACTGACTATGTCCTTGCAGTCTTGCACTTGGGGTAAATCAGAATTTGTTGATTGATGACTGATCCTGATCTTGTTGTTTTCCTGCTCCCTGGTCCCTGGTGATCTCCATTGGATGAGGTGGGATGTCATTTCCAGATGATGCAGTCGTGCAGCATGTGGCACAACGATGCTTGAGATTGTTTGATGGAGCACAACCATGGAATCTGGGAGCGCAACATTGTCAGTCCCGACGATTTCTAGATATAACATGGAAGGGAATCAGCGGGGCAACAGAGGAGCCACCGCTCCGTCTACTTGTGGAAGCTTTAGCAAACGGGGACTGTGTCCTTGCAGACTTTCTTCCAACTGCTGCTTACAATGAAGTAGCTCATGAATTCTCAGCAGCAGCCAA